GAGTCATTTGGAAAGGTTAAGAGTTAGAAGGTGAATGAGATATCAACAAAACAGAAACAAACTGGCTTTACCATAAAGAAGAGAACACACTAGAAAACAGAGCTATGAAAAACTAAAAATAATGCAAGTCTTAGACAAAAAAGGGCTGAGCTCTTTTCTTTGCTTGCAGACCAATCTGTACTGTGGGACTGGCAATCCCCTGAGATAAGAAAAAGAAAACACATGGAAAATATTAGTGGTGTCTTGTCAAGACAGAGGAAAAAAAATAAATTAAGACTATTTGGCAGTCTTTTGAGGTAGCCAGTATTGAGAATAGGTCATATTTTTGTTTGAGTGTAATTTATATTTTTAACAAATGAGCCCCAGGCTACTAGACTGTGAATTTAGCAAGATGCAATCCAACGGAACAGCCACTAATGTCCTCCAGAGTAGTTTGCAGATAGGAGTGATTGACTGTAAAATGTTAAAGTTCTTAATTAAAAGGTATTCAATTTTCCTAGACTGTGTTGGTGAAAAGACACTTTCAAATGTGACTGGAAAAAGCCCTACTAACTTGAAGTTAGTAGTAACCATAAAGAAGAAAAGGGAAAAGAGAAAAAGAAAAACCTGCCATACTTCAATGTACAACATTTGAGTGCCAGCTGTGAAAGAAATTCCCTTTCTTCCACTAACAATTGCACAGAAATAGAAGTACTTCATGGGTCTGTCCTCCATCAGTGCTTGCCTCTGCCCATTATTTTACATGGGGGAACACGAGGGAGAAGGAAGAAGGAGGAAATAATTGAGCAAATTGAACCAGCAGCTGAGTCATTGGCCTTTCTGACACTCTACATTGCACTGCTGTGCACACACCACCTTTGCACAGCCAGGTCCCAGGCAGATGGGGATTGTGTCTTCCATACAGCATCTTTAATGCCTTTCTATATAATGCATAGCAAAATTGTATCAGTACTGCCACAAAGCAGCATAGGAGCCCTGTACTCCACAACTTTCATGAGACGATAGTATACATAGTGAAAAAAGTGGACCCCTCAAGTAATACTGTACTAACTTCAGTTAAAATGTCATCTCTAACTAAAAACTCCAGCAAGCCTAGAAAGCTTCAGGTATCCTTCTCTCCCATATTTCCAGTTCTCCTGTATATACTGAGTACTAGGAACACATAGCATAAATATCTGGATAATTTGGTTGATGGTACTATTTTTGATAGAAGTAAACCAACTCATCTTAAGCTTAGATAATACAACTATACTTGAATAAGCCAATTTTCTATTAATTTGTATTTCCCCTTCAAAACTTTAAGACAGGTTAGGGGAAAATAAGTCCATTAAAAGCATATCAAACCTTCCTCAGTCCTTCCACAAAATATTGTGCTAACAACCCAAACAGAGCTATTACTCGAATCTTCACATTTTTTTAAAGCCACAGAATAATGCATACTAATACAGTAAAAAGAATCTTTGGAGTCAACACTGCAAATCAAGCTTGTAAATAAGTGAAGCCCAACTAAAGTAACTGATCCATTTTTTTTTCTTAATTCCATTTCATGGTGACTGTCTCTCTCAAACTTAGCATACATCTCACTTTTTCAAGTTTACTAGTTATGCTAAGACATCTTTTCATTACCAGCCTTTCCCTGTTAAAAATTATCTGGGCAGAAAGTAAAAGAAATTAAATGTATGCCAAACCACATCTATGTTTGTATCTGGCATGTCATAGTTCTTTATTAGTAGGTGCTCTAGAAATCAGAAATATCTTTATTGTCACTGTAACCAGCTATACAATTTTCCAAAGAATTATTTTGCTGCAAGCCTGTGTAATAAAAGTTGAACGTGAAGCTTGACTACTTTCAAGTGCTAGCCAGCAAGAACTGGTTTTTGTAGCAAGCAGTCCATGTACTTCAAAATACAAAGACAGACATGAATACAGCAACAAATTCTAACCTAATGAAGCAACAAATTGAGGCACTGTTTTCCATTAGGAGCCAACACAGGGAATACCATACTGAAAAGGAAACATTTTGTGTACAGATAAAGAAAACTAGTACTTAGTGCTGTTTTCTAATTTCTGAAAATGCTTGCTGCTTTTCTAGCAAAGTACTAAAACATGTAGATTCACATCAGAAATTACAAGGACACAGAAAACGCAATTGTAACGGATTTTTAATCATTCGTTTAGGGATGAAAACTTTATGAAGAAGGGCTGAATAAAGCATAATTTATCATTTATCATACAACAGGATACAGCAAAGATAACAAAATTTGAACTAGTAACACGCAAGATGCACCTGTTGAAAAGGTTTCCAGTAAGCAAGCTGAAAGCTTGACTGAGGATCAAGTTAGCAGTTGATTAAGAGCAAAATCTATTTAAGCAGGAATGTTGATTTTTACCAGCTCATGCTTACAGTAGGTGTTCTTACTGCCAGACAAAGCAACATTCTGAATAGCTCCCTGGATTTACAAAGACTAAGAGGAAATTCTGTTATTCAAGTGACTGAGTCATATAAAACCCCCAATTCTGTAAGCTCAGAAAACAGTGTGACTTAGGCATGACAAAATAAGGGTCTATTCAAAGCAGAAGGGTTAAGATGCACAAAAACATGAAATAACTCTAGAGTCAGACATCTGAGTGAGTTCAGGAAATAGAATAGCAAATGATCTGATACTTCTAGAATCAGATGATACGTAGAAAATATTAGTGTCTTGTCTTCCCCTCCCCACCACCACCACCATCAGATCTTTCAAATTCAGGAGAATGAAAGGTACTTTTGAAGTTACAAAATTTCATAATCTGGCATAGAGCTAACTGTATGCATCGAAATTACATATGTGGTTCCAGCAACACTGTTTTCCTACTTGATAGATGGAGATTACAAATTTATAATTTTTAGTCATCAGGATACCATCACATAAAAAAATGTGTTTGATTTCAAACTAAAACTGAACTAAAAGTCAAAGCCCCTAAAACTCAGAGAATTCTTGAGTTGCACGGTTGAAGTATTTTCTCAAATTCAGTGATGTTGATCTAGCACTTCACAGAACACGAACATAAACATTGCATAGCTAGATTAAGAGATGGACACCCACCTCTAGAAGTTTCAATTACACCTTCAGACAGAAGAGCTATGAAATTGATTCACAAACCCATGAATACTCTAATCATCATTTTATCTTCTGGTTTTCCAAGTGCATCTCTCCACCAAACCTGCCAGTGCTGTACTCACCCTTCAGTTTCATATACATTGAACAAGCTGAAATTCACTTCCTGCACCCCTCTTTCCAATACCAATAGCACCATAAAGCAAATTAAACTTCACGCTCACAATCAAATAGATTAAAGGCAGACTGCATTTTTTGAGGTGATTTAAGTAGAAAGTCTGCTTTTACTGTTTTCTGTATTTAAATATTTGTTCTTACTCTGTAATGGTTTGTTCTGCGACTGTTCCCAGTGGTTCCAATTAAAATTGAGTTCTTGAGGTACCAGGTGTTGTTTCTGTGAATGTTTGTAGAATTCCTGCTTGAAAGAGCCTACTTTGTAAAAGCCGCTCTTCAAAAGTACTCAAACAATGTCTCTACCTGAAGTTGGTATTACAACTTCCATAAACCTAATGGAAGCAAAGATAGATTAATAAAGAGTACTTTTGAACAATTTCACTCATCACTGTCTTGTATTTTAATCATTCAAATTTCAGTTTGCCATACTGAAAGAAGAGATGTTGCGGTAATAGCAAAAGATGTGGTGTCACTAAGGGAGATACTCTGGCTATAATTTGCATTTTTTCACTTACCATCTTATATTCTGATTAAAACAACCCACACACTTTATTGCATTTGTATTCTGAACGTGCAAGAAGTCTGAAGCAACTATGCCTTAACCATCTGAAGAGCAAATTTATTTGAAGCAATTTAATATGTAGAATTACACTTGTACTGTATCTGGAGACTTTGAGGCATTGATAACATGTGGTCAGCACCGAATTGGAAACAGAATGTTGTAAAGTACTTTGCAGAAGTACAATTAACTTGAAATGATTTCAGAGAGGCTCTTGAACATTTCAGAGTCTGCTGCTTCTACAAGGCTTAAAGAAAACAAGTCAGGTATTCCTTCTTGGAACAGGCAGGTAAGGTGAAGAGGAGGGCAAAGAGGGCTGAAGACAATAGCTAACTTCAAGCTCCTCTCCAGTATTTATCAACCTTTGCGTGCAAGCCAAGAACTAGTCTGGGGCAAATGAACAGCAGATTTGCAGTTGTACAGAAATGCTTAGTGAACCTTCTAGATGTAGGTCAAAACACTGGGCTCTTCTAGGCAATTGATTGCATGTATCCGTGCAGTATCTGGTTCACTCTTGCCACAGAAGGCTGAACAACTTAATCTCTGTAATAACCTCTGAAAAGTATTCCTGTGTTTAATGTAAGTAAATGTACAACGACAGCCATAACAAGGAATTCCAATCTTCCTGCTAGATAATCTGGTTGCTTCTACTGTTTGTTCATCTTTGGACAAATGGGAGTGAAAATTCAGTGAATCTATCTTGATAATAAATTTAGAAATCACAAGCATTTGGTCAAACAAGAAGGCAAACTGACAGCCCCTGACCATTGCCCTTTGCTCCATTTCTGTGCTAATTAACAGCACAGACATCAAATTACGACCATTTTTCTGAGGGCATGGGGAAGAGAGGAAGGGCAGAAGCAAAGAAGACCTTACAATCCTGTATTCACCAACTTGTACACAGTCCAGAAAGTCTGAAAAAACAGTAAAGTCAGGAAGCTTCCATGCAATAACTCATATCACAATGTAAACCCAACGTTTTAATCTCTTGCTGACTTGTTGTCCTGCTCCCCTGTTCTATATGAAAAAGTAATGCTTACACAAATGTAAGGGGCTTTGCTGCTGTGTGTGTCTGAAATTAATTTTTAAAAAAATAGTAAGACTGGATTCTATCCCCACACTCTGAAAAAAAATAAAAACCAACTCAGACATTTAACAAAGTTACTAACCTTTTTCGTTGTGTGGATTTCTTTTTTCTAAAATAAAAGAGAAAGGAAATGATTGTCAAGAGAAATAATAATTCCCAATTTTCCCTTGCATATATATCAGCTTCAATACATTTTAATAACTTGCCATATTATAAAAACAAACAAGACGAACATTTTCCACATCACATCTTTTCAGTGCCTGGAATGGGGAAAAACACCTTTGAACATCTTACTTGACTAAAATATTGCTACCTATGGTGGTTAAATCTAGAGAAACAAGAGTATACACCTTTCTATTTCAGTACTATGGCTGGAAACCCAATATAAAAAACATGCTAAAAATATTTCAGTAACATCACCCAAAAAAATGCAACAAAACTGACTTATGTAGGAATGATGACTGAGAGATTTTGAGTTACTACTCAAACAGAACGGGTTATTTCAATGCTACTTGTTGAAGAAACCATAGTTAACATCTAAAAAGAGTAATTTGTCTTCTTCCGCAATACTTGATTTTGTTTCAACTAGCAATAGCTTTTTAAGTTACTCAAACCCTTCAAAAGTCTTATTTCATTAAAATAAACAGGCTGTAAGGAATGTTTTTAAAATTTTTAAAAAGTAAGTTTCCTTCCCCTCCCAAAATCACACAAATATTTAGATATCATCTTGTATTTTTAAAACAGAAAAAATGAACTTGATCAGAGGTAATAGCATTTCAGGAAAATTACAGAATAGAAGCCAAGAATTTTTCTTCTTGTTAAAAACAAACAAAAAAACAAATCAAAACAAACAAAAAATCCAGTAAAACCAAAATAAAAGATGCTTTGCTTAATGCTTGGTCTGCTGACTGTGAAGTTTTGGGTAATCTGTTAAAAACAGAATATGAGGGATGGGCCATTTTGTTATCTCCAAATAAGAAAATCCACATTTCTAAGGTACACAAAAGTTGTTTGCAGGACTAACATGAACATAACAGTTGTACCGGGTCAAATCAAAGACCTAATAGCTTGTTTCTGACTGCGGTCAACAGTGAAAGAGTACTGGAAAGGACTTGCATTTTCTTCAATATACCCTTTTCAGTGATCCATGGCTTTGTAAAACAGGGAAATACATGCATCATTTTGCTGAACATCCTTTGACAATTTTTAATGTTTAATGAAGTCATGCTGAACCCACAATCTGACATCTACAAGTAAAAACTTATTTTTTGTTTAAAAAAAAAAAATCAGAAAAAGTTTTAAAGTTTTTTTTTAAATTATTAACTTTTTAAGATTGCATCTATTCCCCCAAGATAAATTAAAATCATGAACTATGACAGCAGTTGGATTACAATCAAAAATAAGTTTACAATACTAAATAATAAAAAAAAAAAGGCAAAGCTAGAAGATACTAACAGGAAAAGGTCAATAGCTCTTCCTAATACTTTACACAGTAGCAATGACCTCGCAATAAGAAAATAATATGCAGCAATTAGAATTAGCCTACTGATGAGCTACTGATGATTTCATGTTCAAGGGCTGCAAGCAAAAAAGAAATAGAACATCAGGTGTTCTATAGCAACTTTTCATTTTTATGCATACCATATTTCAGAGGTTATTACAAAACAAATCCTACAAAATTTCAAATTATAATTCAGATTTAGGTATTTTGAAAGCCATACCATCAGTATAGGAGCTCTGCTGATAGTAGAGCTCTGTAATTCAAGCATGTTCCAGAATTCCATAAACTTCAAAAACAAGGTTTGATTGGTACATTTACATGAGAGGTTCTTGATTAGAAAATAAGTGAATCACCAAAATGAAGAAAATTTGATTACATATACACACTGAAGGAAGAGAAACCCATGCACAAATCCTAAAGGCAATGAAAACACAAAACCTTTTACTGCACTTACCAGCAAAGCATTTGGAACAGAGATTCATAGTCTTGCTGGACCTGGGGCAAAAATAAAAAAAAAAAAAAATAGAGCTAAAAAATTCATTATAATTCTAATCAATACAGGGAAGGTTTTGGGGGAATGAAGCAAGGGTACAGAGAGGGTGAGAACTTAAATGCCTAGCAGTCAAAGGTAAGTGGCTAGAAGTGGCTGAACTAGGAACAGGGGGAAAAGACTTCATATGGCAACCTCTTTCCAATTTAAAGAGCTTCCAAAACATGACTTCCACACATTTACCTCATATGTGAAAATAAGCTTACTTTACCATTTAATGTATACGTTACACACTCATCATTTGGATCTTTCTGCTGCAATATGATAATAATGATAGACAGGAAGAGCCAGTACATTCCACTTGAATATCAGACTCCCCTTGGCAACAGCTCTGCAGTCCTGACAAACCCTGAATACAGTACAGCAATAGAGAGATTACAATATTGCACTTGTAAGGGCACAGACAGATGTGCTCTTGGAAGTCTAGATGGAATGGCTTAAGAAGTTATTACCTCAAGATGTTCATTACTACCCTCAGCTGTATCCAGCAGTAATTTAAAATAATCTGGCTGACTTTGCACTGACATGGACTTGAATAGTTCATGTGATCCATTAGTATGGCTCAACTTTGAGGGCAGCAACCTTCAGCTGAGAGAAAAACAGCTGGAGAACGACAGCAATATCTTAAGCCTCCCAGATGTCTCCAAAGTGTTTGTGCAATTATGCCACAAGTGTTCGCCCTCATAAAGAAAGTCAGTCGGCTCACATAAAAAAAAAAAAAAAAAAAGTAAGGCTATAGACATCTCTAGGGATACCATGAAACTACTCAAAGCAATATACTATGGGAAAACAAGTTGCTCCCAGTTTATGAAAAGTTCTCTTCTAACATCACATCATCTCCTCTACAAGGTGATCTGGAGAACATCCTCAAAAGCTCTCTAAAAGTTGGTATGTCTTTAGGTAAGAGTAGCCCAGTTCCTGTGCACGCTGTCCAGTAATTGATTTGTTCAGAGTTCCTGAATCAGCCCCGCCATTACGTATAAGCATTAACACCACCCCGAACAGGTCTGAAAGCACATATTGACAGGCAATGTTGTACCAAAACTGTCCATGCCCACAAGATCTTCTTGCCTCCTCAGGGCAGCCTCTAGCTGAAATATAACATTTAGCCAAATTAATTGCATCTTTATCTTTAGAAAGATGCATACACAAAACCAATCGAGACTACCAAAACAGTTGGTTTCTATTTCCAGCCAAACATGGATGGAAATTTGAGACGAGATCTGCATCTTACAATATACAAATTATAAAAATCAAAACTATTTATTATCTCGAGACAATAAACTTTTACATGTTTTTCAAAGCAATTTTATCACAAATGAACACACCTATCAAAATTACAGAATTCCACCCACCCACCTCCACCCCAACCCGCCCCCCGCACCCCCCAAGTTTGCAAATGGCTATTTTGAATGATTTTCCAGTAACAGCACAAATCCAGACTTGGTCAATCTTATCCTAGTATTAGTCACATCAAAACATTACAGATGCTTTTCAATTCATGCACATTTGAAAGCTGGTTTACATCAGGCTCAAGAATTCTAGAACACAGTTCACTGCAGATATGAGACATAAGCGTTTGCCAGCTATAGCAAGAGCCACAGACACATGAAAGCTAGTTTTAAATGCAAACAGTATGTGCACAGGCAAAAAGTTAATTCCCAGGAAAAGAAAAGCAGAACAGCATTTGTAGCCATACAAATACATCATCAAATTGGTATATACCCAAAAATTCAATATCTATGTTGACAGTCTGCACAGATTATCTACCTTCAAAAGAACTGCAATTAAAAACAGCATGGTGAGTCAACACCTACAGCATTAGTGTGCTGCAGTTCAGTACTCACTGCTTATGGGTTAGACCTTCTGGAGCAGCTCAATATGCCAGGCAGGAGCTTCTCTGCAAAGCCATTAAACCCCAGGGGCAGCAAAGAAAAAGAAAGGCAGAGTTCAGATGGTTCATATTGATGACATTGGAACGGGCAATGACAAATGTTTTCAGTGGTATAATCAACCATCTCAACTGTTAAATATCAATCCAAAGCCTCATATAATATTTACTTATCAGCACACCAACAATGGAGAACACACACACAACATACAGCTATGTGAAAAAAAGGAAAAAGGCTGCCATTTATTCATAACAAAAACCCCCTAGATTTTCTGAAAGGACAGTGCTGTTGGACAAGTGACCTTGTAAACTAAATAACTTCAGTTCACTGTTACAGTTTCAAGGATCGCTTTCTGATCCTTTTATATGCTTTTTCAAGGCATCCAAGTCAGTCTGAGGCTGCTATGTAAGATGAGAATCTAAACTTTGAGTGGGTTTTTTTTGGACATAGTTTCTTTTACACAGTTACTTGTATCACTGCAGATCCATCAACATTACACTAGAACTAAGAAAATGGTATTTTTTATTAGACACAGTGTAAGTGTTGATCAACAATCAGACCCTTTTTTAAAGTGCAATATTTAATTAGAGCAAAAGCTTTACAAAGAAAATGCATTAAGCAGTTTACATACGTCAAACATATTAGGTATTATCTGAGTCACATCAATGTCTGTCAAGTAAAATACATATTAGACAGGTCTGTTACACTGCAAATCCCTCCTCTCATTGCTAGGATTTCCTCTACAGCACCAAAGGCTCTCTCGGCAGACTTAAAATTGAGCAAACCTGCAAATTACTGTTTTCTCTGTGAAGTAAATCTTGTTAACCACATCTCTTTTACATTAATTATTTCCTTGTGACTCCAGCATTCACCAGGAGGTCATACTGACAGGTAAGAATACCAAAATAGAAACTTTCTTTGCTCCTGATAACCTTTTCTAATATATAATTCATCTGTAATATGTAAAATATAAAAAAAAATTCCAGAGGTAATTTTATTTGAAACTCTAAAATAGCAAACAGTCCTGGTCGCAGTACAGCCCTCTGTTTCCACTTCACAGGGAAGAGTTGGTCACAGCAGCCAACTCTACCTAGAACAGATGACTTCTAGGGAAAGCAACACATTTCAGATTTCTAGGAACATACAGTAAAAACCATGAGTGTAAAGGTGAATAAGGCTTCACTACAGTGAAGCTACAATTCAAAGTCAGTCCTGGCAATAAGAATTGCATGGTTGAAACTGCAAATCTACACCAACTTGTCTACACCCTTCTGTCACAGGTAGGTTGGGGATATTGTACCTGCTTCTGAATCAGATATCAAATCATCATGGTTTTTAACCGGACATATTAAGGTAATTCCCAGATTTCACTTGTCAAGCTTCATGCTTAACAGCACCTAAACCAGAATTACTACAGTATACATTTTAAATGTACAATATCCCTAGAAAGCAAGCTTTATACTGATAATTTACAATCTCCGCTTGTACATAATTTAAGCTGATATTCAGAAAGACATTCATATTTATGGATAAATCAAATCAAATAGAATGGTATTATCTCCAAGGCAGAATATAAAGTTAAACCCTCTTTGAAGGTACTTCCATCTGTCAAAAAAGAAATCATTTAACTAAATGGTGACATGAAATTATTATGTAGATTGGAAACCACAAGGTGAAACAAGCTCAGAAAGTCAAGTGGCAGAGCAAGTTTGAGGCAGAGGATACTTCAACCAGCTCTAAAACTCCAAAGGCTACAGAACGATTGCATGCAACAGTTCCACAGGGCATAGTGTGAAACAAGTGTAGGTATTAAAAGTGCTTCCATTGCCAAAAGAAAAAAACACCACTCCTTTAACAACAGAGTCATGAAAACAGTATCAATGAAACAGGGACTTTGAAAAATGAATTAATTTACAGAAATGGGAAATCCTGTTAGTTATAACATATTTATACTTTAAGCAATAGAATCACAGAATGGTTTGGGTTGGAAGGGACCATAAAGATGAGGAAGGGACCTTAAAGGTCATAAATAAATCACATGTAAGGAGAAAAATGAAACACACTTGAGGCTATTCAAGACATCATCCCTTGCACTGTTGTGTCTACAAATCTCCACAGCAAAATAAACTGAGTCTTCAGATAGATGCACACACAGACAACCATAAGGTCCTAATTTCAGCACAATAAACACCTGCATCTCCAGTTAGAGGTGTATAATGCAAAGTGAGAGTCAGCAAGAGGCATAAAACATCAAAAAATAACATAGTTCAAATCCTATGTATTAATATGTAACTAATTAATAAAACTGAAGAGATTGCTTCCCTGACTCCATTTACATATGGTTCTTCCAGTACACTCTTATGAAGGTATGGCCTTATCTACTCCACTAAAATCACTGAACGTTATTTACTTGAATTTATGCCCTGTATTATTTCTTTTCTTTCTTGCCATTTGGTAGTATACCATTGCAAGGTAACATCCAAATCAATGCACATACTACTCTGTCTTCACTGGATATTTATTTTTCTTTCCCCCTCTCCCAGTAAATGATTTTATCAATACGAAACCACATCTAGAGAATTAAGTTGAAATTCTAGCCATAAATCTCAAAGACAAGACTGTTAGATGTACAGTAGTTGATCAGAATAGCCAGAATCTAAAAAAGACAATCTCAATCTGAAGGTTCAAGAATGAATTACATGTGGAAATTTTGCGCATTTGAAGAGAGTTAAAAAGAAGTATACATAAATGTGTCTGATCTCAGGATACTCAGTCTCCCTAATGAAAACAATTTTCTGCCAAGAAACTTAAATAGGCACACCTAATAAATACTGAAGGTTTTGTAACAAATCCTACATTCTCCAGCAGACTGTCAGGCACTTCGTAGCTTTCCCATCCCACCATCAAGAGTAAAGAGAAAAAGCAAACCAGGAACACTGGAAACTAATACTAGCTTAACTCCACTCAAGTGCCAAAGGCCAATATAGAATTCTCAGTTTCGTCTGTATTAGGACATCTCCTACAGTTTTTAAGGTAATAGTGAACTAGCATTA